AATGAACATCTATGCTATATAACAAAATGCAAATTCTCTTGCTTTTAATGATTAAACTTGAGAGTTCAAAAGAAGTCTGTACATGAGATGGGTAACTTCAGGCTGTGCCCCCAGACTCATGGGAGGGTACATCTCCACTCCTGTCTGCTATTAGCCGTAGTTCAAGGGGAAAAATTGGAAAGCACTGGCTTCAGTTCTTATTTCCTTTCCTTCGTCTTCTTCCTTCCTCATTTCCATTTCAAAGCAGACCGTTTCAGTTTTTCTGTCCCTGGCCTTAGGAGCAGGTAGGTATCTGTACTGTCAATAGATGAATTACTGAAATGCTGAGACTTCTAACCAAAAGGGTTGGTGAGAGCAGGAGTGAGCAGAATGCAACCAGTGGAAGAGCTGATACTCCAGCAGCAAAATAAATGAGAAAAATTAAGATCCTGAAATATTAGATTGTGATTTATATTTATAAAGGGTTTAACTCTTGTCAGAACGATAACGATCCCTTGTTGACTAAATGTAAGCTTCTCTATCAACTGTGCCTTAAAAGTTTTCAGTGGCCAGCTATTTTTCCCTTGTCCCCTCAGTGCATTTTTTTCAAAAGTACTACAACCCCTAGGAAGGAGAAAGTTTATCTTCCCTCCTTTCCCCCTTCCCGCAGTCCCATCAGGACTTAAGGATGATGGAGATTTCTTCAGACCACAGGTGTAGCAGACATCGGGTCATTTCGTTCATGGTGTTTTCATTTAGAACATAACAAAGGGAATAGTTCCATAAAGAAAGAACTTAGTAAGTAAATACCTACCCAAATCAGACGAAGTATTCCATAAACTTGGTAGATAAGAGTAAATTCAGTTAAGTGAGCCGGCTGGAGGGAACTTTACATACAGGTAAGAACAGGTACCCCTTGATTATACCATTTCTGTCTCTGCACATTCTTGCCAATCCCTTCTCAATCCAGTTTTCCTCCTTGATTGAAAGTAGTGAGGGAACACTGGCTCTCTGTTCATTGTGCTAATTATAGAAGGAAAGATTAAGACCACTGTAGAGCTCTGGAGAACAGGCAGGGCAGCTGGAGCTTGTTAAAGAAGTGGGGAGCGGAGGGTTAAGGGTTGTGGTCAGAACATGGTGAGAGAGATGCAGCTGCATCAAGCAGATGTGTAGAAAATGGAACTTACAGTATTGGTAGAAAATGTATGTTTCCTAATCCCTTTTTAAAAATATTTTTTATGGGGCACCTGGGTGGCTCAGTGGGTTAAAGCCTCTGCCTTCGACTCATGTCATGATCTCAGGGTTCTGGGATCGAGCCCTGCATCGGGCTCTCTGCTTGACAAGGAGCCTGCTTCTCGCCTTCTCTCTCTGCCTGCCTCTCTGCCTACTTGTGATCTCTGTCTGTGAAATAAATAAATAAAATCTTAAAAAATATATTTTTTATGTGATCTTGAGCAGAGGAACATATACCAAGCTCTTTCAACGGTGTAATTTTCATTTAATTAAAGACAATACAGTTGATTCATAAGAGTGTGATCTTACTGAGCATATCTTGAATCTGAATGAGAAAGTAACTCTCTTCCTAACAATACTACATGTCACTCCAATACAAGGTTCTTAACTTCGGAGGATGATGCGTAGATTTATGCAGTTACAATACCGAGGGGTTAAATTTCATTCTGACTCTAATACATTGAGATGGACTCTGCACTCTTCCGTTGTCATTATATAAGCTATTTATAATACCATTATTGTTTGTATAGTTTTCCTTTAAAAGAGGTCTGAACGTACTATTTTTTGTGTGTATATTTTCATGTATGTGTACATATATATCTTTTTATATATACATGTATTTCCACTACTTTTATAAAATTTAAAGATTATTTATTGAGATAATGGACTGTTTTTTAAAAATCTTTCTAGCTTGAGAGCCTGGGAAAGAGCAGTTGGTTAATATATGCTGAATAAATGTATGGCTCAGAGGCAGATGAGTAGCTGCATAGGGACAAACAGAAAAATGGACCCACAACTGCTCTGCCTTTCCAGACAAGCATTATTTACTTGGTGTTCATTAAATGCTTTCTCTGTGCATTACTAGTAGGAATTTTGCAACTTTTTTATTCCCTCGGTATTTTTATTTTTTTAAATATAGAAGACATGGTACAAAGTTATAACAATCTTCAAAGTTAAACATATACACTATTCAAAGCTGTTTTTGTTGAACTATTAAATCACAGAAAATAACCAGTGTAGCATAATTCAGTGTTATTTTCCTTTAATTATTCATCAAGTGGGTGTAAGTGCTTACTGTGTCACAGGTTCTGTGATAGTCATGCAAAAGTGAAAAGACTAATTTACTCCTCTCAGTTTGTTTATGGAATAACAGAAAATCAAGCAAACAAGCAGCTTCAGCATAATATCCTGGGAGTGGAGATGAAGTGAGACATAGAAAAGACCCATCTAAAAAGCAGCCAAAGGACTAAACTCCAGAGTTAAGTATAGAAGGATAAGTAGACAAATCATAGGAAATAGGTGTTGCTGGCTCTATCTATCTTTGCGGGTCACTACACCTATCTCCATCTTCACTCTACCTTACCTGACAACCAGTGGAGATGTCATGAACAAAAAAGATAAAGCTTTAGGAAAGCAGAGTCTCTGGTATCAGATAAGTGCAAAATGCACAAGAAGTTAATTTTAATACAAATCGAGGAAAATGGATGACAAGATGGTGTCTATAAAGCTTGTCTATAGAAAAGGTAGTTCTACCAAGGCCTTTTAGGATATCCACCAGTGTCAGAACTAGGAGGTTGTCTGTTCACTTTCAATAATGCACATACTAAATAGTAATATTTTAAAAAGAAAAGAAATGAAAAAAGAATGCAGGGGTGCCTAGATGGCTCAGTCGGTAAGCGTCTACCTTTGGCTCCAAAGATGAAGCCCCAGATCTGGCTCCTGCTCAGCAGGGGGCCTGCTTCTCCCTCTCCTCCCTGTTTGTGCTCTCTCTCACATCTGTTTCTCTCTCTCACATAAATACATGAAATCTTAAATTAAAAAAAAATAAATAAATAAAGGAGGGCGCCTGGGTGGCTCAGTGGATTATGCCTCTGCCTTCAGCTCAGGTCATGATCTCAGGGTCCTGGGATTGAGCCCCACATCGGGCTCTCTGCTCGGTGGGGAGCCTGCTTCCCTCCTCTCTCTCTGCCTGCCTCTCTGCCTACTTGTGATCTCTATCTGTCAAATAAATAAATAAAATTTAAAAAAAAATTTAAAAAAAAGGAAAGAAAAATGAACGCATTTTTAGCACTTGTTTATCAACATTGATATTTTAAACAAACTACTCATTAAACCTACTACAAGTGAACTTACATTTTAGAGTTGGTATAGGTTTCATTCTGTATCTTTCTATCTAGCTATCAAGCTTAGTGTAGAAAATTACTAGATTCTATTTTGAGTCATTCACCAGTTCTTCTGTTTAATTTATGATAATAAACTAATTTACAAACATTAAGAAATGCTTTCTTAACAAATTCCATTTACATGAAAAGACTGAATTTAATTTAACTTTAAATTTATTATAGTTCAAAAACTCTCAAAATTGAACAATCTGTTAAACATAGAAACCCTTGTATTATTATGTAGGAGATTGGTATTTTTCTCTTCTCGCTCTCTGGAAGAAAGAATGGACAAGAGGGAAAAAGGACTAAGATTAAAAAAAAAGAAGAAGAAGAAGAAGAAGAAGGAAGGAAAAGAGAATAGGAGAGACAGAGCCTGAGAGAGAGAGAGAGAGAGAGAGAGAGAGAAGGGAATACACATTCAAACGAGGAGAACTTCATTCTAGAAAGAGTTTTTTAAAAGATTATTTATTTATTTATTTATTTGGCAGACAGAGATCACAAGTAAGGCAGAAAGGCAGGCAGAGAGAGAGGAAGGGAAGCAGTCTCCCTACCGAGCAGAGAGCCTGATGTGAGGCTTGATCCCAGGACCCTGGGATCATGACCTGAGCTGAAGGCAAAGGTTTTAACCCACTGAGCCACCCAGGTGCCCCCTAGAAGGATTTTTAAGACTTTTTTGGTTAACCCTCTTCTCTCATTTTACAGAGAAGCAAGATGAAGCTCTGGAAGAGTAAATGGTTTATAAAAAGACCCAGACCAAGTTAGTGGCAGAACCAGAGCTGGAAAGCTTTCCTATATTTAGCTGACTGTTCTGCATTCCAAAGAACCAGATATTGTTGTTGTTGTTATTCTAGCACTCCGCTACATAATTACTCCTTGCCCAATTTGTATTTTAATTTTTTGTACGTCATTGAAAGCACTGTAAATTTTGTCATTATTCAATAAAATTTGACAGTTCAATAGCTGTAGAAGACACAGAGTTATTAGAATTGACAAAAACCTATTACTTCATTTTAGCAACATTAAAAAATTTTCTCTGTCAATACAATGGAGCAAAGATAGACTTTTTGACAAGTGGCGATGGAACAACTAGACATCTACATGCAAAAAAATGAAAAAAAAAAGATAACTTTGGATGTTTAGAGAGCTTACACTCATCACAAAAACTACCTCAAAGTGTATCACAGACCAAAACTAAAACACAAAACTAGAAAACTCCTAGAAGTTCACATAGGAGAAAACTCAGATGACCATTACTTTTTAGATTATAATATCAAAGTCACAATCCATGGAAGAAACAATTGTTAAGTAGACTAAATTAAATATTTCTGCTCTATGAAAGGCAATGCCAAGAGAATGAGAAGGCAAGCCACAGACTGGGAGAAAAATAATTGCAAAAGATACATTCAATAAATGACTATTATCTAAAATATAAAATAAAAAAAAACTCTTCAAACTCAATAGTAAGAAACTGAACAACCAGGTTTAAAAATGGGTCAGTGACCTTGCACACTTCACCAAAGGTGATATATACAGATGAAGTATTGGCATATAAAAAGATGCTCCACATTATATGCCAGCAAGGAAGAGCAAAGCAAAACATTGAGATAGCATGACATACCTATTAATATGGCCAAAATCCAGATCACGACAGCACCACTTGCTGACAAAGATGTGGAGCAACAGGAGCTCTCATTCACTGCTGATAGGAATGTACAATTCAGCCACTTTGAAGGCAAATTGGTGGTTTCTTACAAAACGAAACATATTCCAACAATTATTCCCCTTAGTGCTTGTTTGAAGAAGCTGAAGTTATGTCCCAACAAAAACCTGCACACAAATGTTTATAGCAGCTTCTATTTTGGTCAAAGTTTGGAAGCAACCAAGATGCCCTTTGGTAGATAAATGGTAAGTAAACTATGGTACATCCAGACAACGGAATATTATTCAGTGCTAAGAAAGAAAGGAGCCATCTAGCCATAAAAAAGAGATGAAGAAAACTTAAATGCCAATCTGAAAGAAAAACTTACATGCTAATCTGGAACAAAGCCAATCTGAAAAGGCTACACATGCCATATGATTCCTATATGACATCTTGGAAAAGGCATGAAAAATTATGGCAACAGTAAAAACATCAGTGGTTTCCAGGGATTGAGGAGTGGAGAGGAAAGAATAAGGATTTTTCGGGCAGTGAAAACATTCTGTATGATACCATAATGATGGATACATGTTTTTATACATTCGTCCAAACCCATGATATGTACAACACCATGAGTGAGATGTAATGACTTTGGGTGACTATGATTTGTCAACATAGGTTCATCAGCTGTGGTGGAGGATATGTATAATGGGGAGGCTGTGCATGTGTGGCGTAGGAATACGTGGGAAATTCTCTACCTTCTTGAATTTGCTGCGGACCTGAAATGGCTCTAAAAAAATAAAGTCTAAAGAAAGTCTTGTCCTACCATTTTCAAAATATAAGGGTAATCATTTCTTTAATGTGGTATAAAAGTTGGTCAAGTGCTTTCTAAATGGAACCTCAATTAGCCTTGAAATGTTTCTCTTAGCCTCTATATTTCTCTCATTATTGTTCTCTACCTGTTATCTTGAAAACTGTAATTAGTTTTGGAAAATTCTGTCCTGACTCTCCCCACCTTCACAACAAAATGCTTTCAAGTTGTTGTTGTTGCCTTTTAATATGCTTTGTTTCTCTTTATGTAACTGTGTCTCCTGAGGCTGAATATTAAGATATAATAAGAGAAGATTCAAGATATTTGGCACCAGCCAACCATAATCTTTCTAATTTAAGGTTACCTCCTTTTCCATGTTTGAGTTATGAGAGAAACCCATAAATGCACTGCCCTGTTTTTAATGGCCTAAAAGTCTTCAAAGACCATAAATATTTTAAACTGAAATTCTTGCAGCAATACCTGACATTGAAATTTATCTGTTCATTTGTCAAAAGTATTGCATCAGTGTGTTTTGTATCAGCAATGTTTTAAACTCTTCACTGGCACATCTTCTGTATCTTAAGAGTGGGCCTTAGAAATAACCATCTATAAAGTGGAAGCAAATGCAACAGTTACTCTTAAGTTGTTATTTATGTTGAAACCTCATATTTTTTTATGGTCTGGTCTTTTCTTCTCTTCTCTTTTCTCTTTAGACAGAGCGAGAGAGAGCACAAGTCGGGGGGTAGGGGTAGAGGGAGGGAAGAGCATTCCGAGCGGACTCTGACTTCATGCTTGTTCAGAACCCTATGCAAGGCTCAGTCTCATGACCCTAAAACCAGGACATGAGCTGAAATCAAGAGTGAGGCACTCAACTGACTGAGCCACCCAGGAGCCTTTGTGGCCAGATTTTTTTAAATGGCAAATAAAACAGATAAATAGAAATATGCCAGTTGTGCCTCAAAATGATTAATAAATTAATTGCTTCTATATTTGAAAAGTGAAACACAAAGTAGCTGTGTCTGCAGGAAGAAGAAACAACTAGAAAAGCCATTAAACCACATTTTATTTACACATCTACTGTTCATAGTGATAGTTTTCTAGCTTCTGTATATACACAATTCTGTATATTCCACAATTGTAAATGTCAGTACAAAAGTTCAGATAACTTCTGAATTCAAGGCTGATAAATTTTATATTGGCATGTGTAGAGTTAGTAGTACTTAAAGTCTTGAATAGGTATATTTAAAATTTCAGCTATTAAGATTGAAAAAAAGTTGTATTTACCGGTCTGTTGTGTATGCGCAAAACATGTTATTGTCTGGGGCAGCAGAGGTATGAAGGATTTCTAGCCCTTAAGAAATGCAGCCTCTGTGTTCTGTAAGAATTTGCTGGCATGTTGAAGTAGCCTGCTTATTAATGAGTTTGGCTTTTGCTCTTCTCTAATGTCATTTATATACATTGCTGAGCCCTTCAAAAATGGTTATGGGACATGTCCAGAAAGCAGAACAGCTTTCAGTGTATTATAGTTTTTATGTTTTCTTTCATGTTTATTTATAACCTTTATAATGCCCATTAACTTCATCAGATTTTAGCTAAAACTTGGGAGAAAATGTTTTATATATTAAGGAGTATTCAGAAGAGTGTGCTCTATTATCCCCAGTGAAGTTTATTTAGCTAGTGCTGAAACTATTTTTCTAGGCTTTCTCATGTGTCTCAGATATCCACATTTTCTTAATGATGTTTAGATAGAAAGCCATTGTGTGTGTTTACTTGTCTTTTAGAGAATGTATGTCATTTAAACTTCTCTATGGAAAATAAATGAAAATTTTATACCTGTGGTTTTATGTAAAACTTTTTCTGTAGAACAAATTATTACAGAGTTTTAAAAACTTTTTTCACTATGAATTATATATACAGCAATAAATGCCAATAGAATAATTTGCATTTTCTTTGACAAACAAAAGTTATAAATTCTTTACTAAAATAGGAATGTTAGAAAGTTACAATAGAAGTTACTAAAATATGAATAATCAATACAGTAACTAATGGGTTCTATTCTCAGAATGAGCTAAGGGCTAAGGTATCATATTCTGACTGCTATCTCAAACTGTATTTTTCTTTCTCAGAAATGACTTTTTTCAGATAATACATAGTTCTCTTCCTTTGGAGCAACATTTATAAGAAACATAAGAATCTTCAGAGACAAATTTATTTGTGTTCAAATTCAAGATCGTTCCTTTATTTTTTTAAAGATTTTATTTATTTATTTGAGATTGAGAGAGAGAGTGACCAGAAGTCAGGGGTTCGGGGGCAGAGAAGAAGGAAGAAGCAGACTCCCTGCTGAAAAGGGAGGCCAACTAGGGACTCAATCCCAGTACCCTGGGATCATGACCTGAGCTGAAGGCTAATGTTTAACAGACTGAGACACCCAGGCACCTCAAGATCATTCCTTTAATAACTGTGTAATTTTGTTAGGTTCTTTTAATTTTCCAAAAACTACATTCCCACACACTTAAAATTAATATTTTATAATCCTTATGTGTTTACTTTTTATAATGTACAATATATAATTAAAAATAATAATGTGTGTTCTCTAGTTTTGATGTCAGCTCTATGTTCCTTTGATCAAGTTGTTAATTATTCTTTTAATTCTACATTATTATTAATTTTTAATGTGTTTAAAAATTTTCAAGTTCTTGGTAGAATTTTATGGGTTTGTAATTTCTTCTAATATTTCTTCTAATCTTTCTATACATTTGAGCTTTGAATATTTTTTGTTGAACTATAATTGACATATAACATATTAGTATCATGTAATATAACAATTTGATACTTGTATATATTGTGAAATGTATTATAAAAAGTAACCACATAGGGGATACTGCCTGGGAATATAAAATAGAGCAACCTTAATGGAAGGGAATTTGATAATACCAAACTACATTTATCCTTTGACCCAGAAACTTCATGTCTAAAAATGTATCCCAAAAATATGTGAACAAAAATATGAAAAAATATACACTTAAGGCAATTTATTGCATTTCAGTTGGTAATAGCAAGAGACTATAAAACAATCTAGTTCCATGGATAGGTTACTGGCCATCCTGTAATCCTTAATTATGGCCATCCTGATCATACAGCTGTAAAAAGAAGTGAGGAATGTCCATATAGTGATATTCAACATATACATTTTTTGTTTTATTTTTCAAAATATGTTTTAAGTGAAAAAAGCAATGTGAAGAAAGGTATATGTGTGCAATGCTAACATTTGGCTAAGAATGTGTTATTATTGTTATCTGTATGTAGCTATGTATATCTACCTATTAAAGGAAGAATAAAATAAAACCTTTTTGTAAAAGGTTGTGTATAACCTAGCATTTCCACTCCTACCCATATACCCAAGAGAAAAGAAAACACATTATGTCCACACAGAAACTTGAATGTGAACAAACTTGAACAAAACACATTATGTCCACACAGAAACTTGAACGTGAGTGTTCATAGCAACATTATTTGTAATAGTCGAGAAATGGAAACAACCTAATGTACATCAATTGAAGGTTGAGTAAACAAACTGTGTTATAGCCACACAGTGAAATAGTATTCAGGTACAAAAAGAATGAAGTATTGATTCATGCTAAAAAATCAATGTACCCTGACTACATTATGCTGAGTGAAAGAGGCAACATAATTGTATTATTCCATTTATATGAAAAGTCCAGAGTGGGCAAATCCAGAGAGAAAGAAAGTAGATCACTGATTGTCAGGGGCTGGGTGTCGGGGTAGAGAGAAGGCAGCAGTGGAGAGTGATTGCTATAATAGGTAGGGGGTTTCTTTGGGAAGAAATGAACTATTCTGAAGTTAGATAGTCATGAAAATTGGATAACTTTGTAAATATTCTACAAGCCACTGAACTGCACTCTTTAAAAGGGTGAATGTTATGGTATATTAATTACATCTCAATAAAATGTTTAACCTAAAAATGAAGCTTTGATTGCTTACATTAAGTAACTGTTCTGTGGACAAGATAATATTTACAAATTAAACAGCAAGATGGTTAATATGTAGTAGGTGCTTACTCCATGTTAGTTTCCCTTCCTGTATAATGTATAGTAATTATACTTTCACTTGTGATTGTGAACAGCTTGTAATTTTTTTTGATGCATCCCTTCTTTGCATCTTAATAGCTCTTTGAGCTTATTACCTATTCTTGGCAGTAATTGCATATATAACATCCCAAACTGTGCAGTCATTTCAATCAGACAGATGTCTGTCTGCAGGATGCTGATCAATAGTTAGCTAAATTTGATATATTTTTGGTATGAAAAGGATCCGAAGAGTCTTAAATGAGATGGAAGATTCACAAATAACATTAAATTGGTACCTAGCTCTGTTGAGGATTTAAATACTGAAAGGACTGTCTTATGGGTGAATTTTGCATTCAGAA